CTCACTCTTCAGCTATGTTCATATCATCTACTTATCTAATGCCAAATTTCTAAGAACTATAGTTAAAATTTTATGGATAGATACAGTATATTTTCATAATTCTGAGGATAATTATAGTTATTCTACAGTCATGTCCTGGTTGCTCTCTTTCTGGTATGACTCCTTCCTCAGATTTTTCCATTTAATGAACAAGGTCCTTCAATTTGAAATGTTGGCTTTCCCAGAATATTTGGTGATACTTTAATGAGTGCTTGTTTTTGTAGTTGGACTTCCTAGTAACTTGTGATTGCTATCTATACAATTGTCTTCTTGCATAGCATAGGCTAGTTCTGTTACCAAGCAAGGCACCTAGGTGCACTAGAAGCAAAAGCTGAGATTTTGATTCTTTTGCAAGTTATTGTTGAGGGAGCTCTCAGTAGAAACCTATGAGTGAAGGAAGCCAAATGGCACTGGGAGAAAAGCCAATGGTTCCCAAACTTTGCTACACATTAAAATCATGTGGAGTGCTTTTAAAAGTCCCAGCACTCAGAGGAGTGACATCAGCAAGATGGAAGTATAGGAAGATCTAGGCACTCCTTCACTCACAGAGAAACCAATTTAGCAACAATATATGGACCACGTTGCTTTTGTAACAACTCCAGAAACTGCTTGAGAGATTACAGCTTCCCAGGCAAACACAAGGCCAAGAAGAGACATATTGGAACAGTTAGGAAATTCTGGTGCACTTAACCACCATACCTCATTTACCTCCCTGTACAGCTCAGAGAGAATAGGAGAAAAACCCCAGTTCCCCGTTTCTCCTTTGGGAGGGAAAGAAAACAGTGGAACATGTGACCTATGTTCTGGCTTTTTGAGGGATATCTAATAGACTGGTTTCTATCTCACTGACTAAGATCACTGATAAGAAAGGAAGTAGTACACTTTGAATGCCTGAATCCCACTGAGAACAAAGGTGAGTTCTGTAGGCTATTACAGCATCAATGAGATTGCAGTATGATAGAGGTACACCATGGGAACTTCTGGGTAGATAAAGTTGAATCTCTTTAGCTCAGAGATAAACATAAGACAAAGAAAATGCTTCCCCAGAAAATTTTGAGAGGCTTCCAGAATTTCTAGCTGGGCCAACTGGTGAAAATCTTCTTCTGCACAAAGACAGTCTATAAAGACTGGTAGAATTAGCTGTGTTTCAAAATGGCCAAATTAAAAAAAAAAAGATAAAAAGCATACAACGAAAAAGGGATTCATGGCTCAATCAAAAGAACAAAATTAATCTCTAGAAACCAACCCAAAACAAATGGAAATGTATGAATTATCCAACAATGAATTCAAAATAATCATCATAAAGGAATTCATTGAGCTAAAAGAACACACACAGACAACTAAACAAAAGCAGAAAAAGGCTGCATGAACAAAATGAGCACATAAAAAAAAGAGATAGAAACTATAAAAAAGAACCATACAGAAACTTGGGAGGTGAAGAATACAATAGCTGAATTGAAAGATTCACTAGAGGGATCAATAGCAGACTGGAGCAAACAGAAGAATTAGTGAACTTGAAGACAGGTTATTTTGAAATTAGTAAGCCAAAGGAGAAAAAAAAAATGAAGAAAAGTGAAGAAAGCCTAAGGCACTTATGGAATGACATAAAAACATATTAGAAGATACAGGATATATACATAGACCCAATGGAACAGACAGCCCAGAAATAAATCCTAACATATATGGATAAATAATCTTTGACGAAGGTGCCAAAACCACACAATGGAAACAAGATAGTCTCTTCTGTAAATACTAGTAGGAAAACTGGATATCCACAGGCAAAGGAAGGAAGATGAGGGAGAGCTTTGGGACATTGAATTTAGCAATGATTTATGGGATATAATGCCAAAGGTACAGGCAACAAAACAAGTATAGACAAATTAAACTACATCAAACTTAAAAACTTCCACACAGCAAAGGAAACAGAGTGAACAGGCAATTCTTGGAATGAGTGAAAAGAATGCAAACCAAATATCTGATAAGCAGTTAATATCTAAATATATAAAGAATTCCTAAAACTCAATAACAAAAAATCCTCAAACACCCTAAATGAAAAATGGGCAAAGGACTTGAACAGACATTTCTGCAAAGAAGATATACAAATGACCAAGATGTGCAACATCTGTAATCATTAGAGAAATACAAATCAAAACCACAATAAGATATCACCACATACCCATTAGGATGGCTGCTATCAAAAAAACAAAATAATAAGTGTTGATGAAGATGTGGAGATACTGTAACCCTTTGTGCACTTGTGGTGGGAATGTAAATTAGTGTAGACACTATGGAAAACAGTTTGGAGATTTCTTAAAAACTAAAAGTAGAATTACCATATGATCCAGAAATTCCACTTCAGGGTGTATGTATATCAAAAGAATTGAAACCAGGATCTTGAAGAAATATTTGCACACTAATGTTCATTACAGTATTATTCACAACAGCCAACAGGTAGAAGCAGCTCAAATGTCCATCACAGTTGAATGAATAAAGAAAATATGGTATGAATATACAATGGAATATTAGCCATAAAGAAGAAATCCTGTTATATGCTACAACATGGATAAACCTTGAGGATATTATACTAATTGAAATAGCCAGAGACAGAAAGACAAATATTATATTATTTCACTGATGTGAGGTATTTAAAGTAGTCAAGTTCATAGAAACAGAAAGTAGAATGGTAGTTGCCACGGACTGAGGGGGAGGGTGGAAAAAAGGAGCTATTATTCCATGGATATAGAGCTTCAGTTTTGCAAGATGAAAATGTTCTAGAGATATGTTATACAAATATGTGAATACAGTCAGCACTACTGAACTATGCACTTAATGGTTAAAAAGGTAAATTTTACATTATGGTTTTTAACCACAATTATTTTTAAAAATTCCTCTGCACTCAGGTGATACTCCATATTAATTAAATCAGAACGTCCCAGAATGGGAGCCAAGCATCAGTGTTGATACTATATATTATAGATATATATACTATATATATATATATATATTATTTTTTTTTTTTTTTTTTTTTTAGAGAGTCTCACTTTGTTGCCCAGGCTAGAGTGAGTGCCCTGGCATCAGCGTAGCTCACAGCAACCTCAATCTCCTGGGCTCAAGCGATCCTCCTGCCTCAGCCTCCCGAGTAGCTGGGACTACAGGCCCATGCCACCATGCCCAGCTAATTTTTTTGTATGTATATTTTTAGTTAGTCAATTAATTTCTTTCTATTTTTAGTAGAGACGGGGTCTCGCTCAGGCTGGTTTTGAACTCCTGACCTCGAGCAATCCTTCTGCCTCGGCCTCCCAGAGTGCTAGGATTACAGGCGTGAGCCACCGCGCCCGGCCCAGGCATCAGTGTTTTTAAAGGTCCCCAAGTACATGGTAGGCAACCTCCTTAAGATCACTTCCGGTCATCCTTGCTTTCTGACATTTATACTTTTGTGTAAAACCCCTTCTCAAGTGTAGGCTGGACTTACTGACTTGCTTCTAATGAGCAGAATACAACAGAATTGATGAGATGTCACTTCCAAGATTAGGTCACAGAAGACTGGGCTTCTGTCTTGCATGTTCTCTCTCCCGTCCTCTGATCACGGCCGTGTCCTGTGGCAGGCCAGTGGAGAAGCCCCGTGGGAAGAAACTCAAGCTGCCAGCGGCGATGTGAGTAAACTTGGAGACCGATCTCGTCTCCCACCCGCCTCATGAGAGATTTTGAATCAGAGGCATATAGCTAAGTCATACCCAGATTCCTGACCCAAGGAGGAGTCATGAGATAATAAATATTTGTTGTTTTAAGCTGCTATGTTTGGGAATTATTTGTTAAATAAAAAAAAATAATACGCCAGGGGATTCCAATGTGCAGCAAAGTTCAGGGACCACTGAAGCAGACAAATATATGGTTTTGGAGAAGTCTAGTCTTCTCATGATTCCACAGGGAAACCTGGAATACAAACTGTGCCACAGGGGTTGTATAGACAGAGGCAAATGAGCTGAACTCTTAGATGCATCAGTCAGCCTTCGGCAGAAGCTTTCTGGAGGAAGGTGAAAAGGGGGCAAACCTGCCTCGCATCTTAAGGCCCTACCTTGTCTGCAGGCAAGGCTCCTAGAAAACTCCGGGTGTATATAGTCGGCAGCCACGGGCAGCAGCTGGATGACGTCTTCACTGGCCCGGCTGGGATCTACGGGAGCACCAAGAGCGTGTGTCTGCAGGGTATACTTCAGCTCCATAAAGTGGATGCAGAAGACACGAGCAGGTTCTGGATGAGACGTGCCGGCACACGGCGTTCTGGACAGGAGTCCCCCCATTCTCATGGGGTCATCAACCACCCCAGAAATTTTCTAATTTGCTTTTGTAACTTAAATGCCCACACTCATTGGTTTTTTCTTTTGGGCAAATACCTCTATTACTTTTCTACTTACTCGAGAGGCAGGAATTATGTGGAAGGTAGATTTGTCTGGCCATTCTTACAGTAATACTCCAAATAATCAACCATTTGTTTTCTCCAGAAGTCTCTCTTGCTCTTAGCCTCTGCCGTTTCTCAGCTGGAGCGCCTTTAGAAGTATGCCATGTCTTTTGTAGCAATCTCTGTTTAACACACATTTTGGCTTCTGGTTTTCTTTCTAAATCCTACACTGTCTCTTATCTTCCTGGAATACATTTAATTTCTTGTCCACTGAAGAATCCCCTTTTGTTTTCTAGTTAGGCTATGGATTTTCCTATTACTTTTACATCTTCATTTCAAAAGATTTAGGGATGGAAAGAGAGGAGCAATCTCTGCTCAGCCCAATATTTTGAACTACATCTCTATAAAATTTTAGACAGCACTAAAGAATGCATGAAAAGTTTTTTTTATTATTAAATGGCATTCACTCAAATTTGAAATTGTTATAAACATTAATATATTTGTTGTAAAGTTTATAATAAAACATTATTTGATTAAAAGAATGTTTTAAAATTGGTTTTCAAAGTCTGTCTTTCAGTTTTGTGCTAGGTGCTGTCTCTCCTGCTGTTGTTGTCCCTTCCATGCTGAGTTTGCAAGAGAGAGGATATGGCATCGAAAAAGGCATCCCAACCTTGCTGATAGCTGCTAGCAGCTTAGATGACATCGTGGCTATCACTGGATTCAATACATGCATGAGCATAGTCTTCTCAGAAGGTAAACAAGAAAATACAACCACCGCCATATCATTCATAACCTTTTTTGTTAGTTCTTTAAACAAAGTTTCTGGATTTACCTCTTCATTTATTAATCGATACTTTTAAACATCTGTTTATTCTTTGTATAAAGCTCATTCTAGACCAGGGAAGAAATTGCAATGGCATCAACGGCTTAAGAAGCCACTACTTAATACAAATGATTTCATTTTAATTAGCATGTGTTTAAATTAATTAGTGAACCATATTATTACTATTTCACTTCTTATGTTGCTTTGGAATTTTATCAGTTCTCACTAGAAAATATCAAACAGCAGTATTATTAGTACTACAAATATTTTAATAGGTATTTTTGACATGTATAGTACTTCTTTGACTTTCCCCATAGATAATTGGCTGCTCTATTATAAGACTACTTATATAGAGGGACAGCTGGGATAGCCATGTGGCTTTTTGGCAGTGGTGGGACAAGATCCTACACCAGGATCTGACTCCCAGGGTGATATCTGGTCTTGAATGTCATGGCACACATTGTGAAAGTAAATATGTCCACACTTAGTAATGCTTTAATTAATGGCAATGTTTGAAATTGAGTCTTCTGTATTATTGAAATACTAAAATATTTTTTAATTTGAAAAGTAATATGTATAGCTTCTCTTAAAGTCAGAAAATATGAATAAATAAAAGGATAATAAAATCTGTGATAGTCACATCCAGAAGAAAAAAAATCTTTTCCTTCTGAACTTCTTGACGTAAATTCACCCACACTTATCTCTTTTGTATGTGTGTGAAGGTATAAAGCATCCTTTTTTTAAAAAAAAATATTTTTACATATTATTATTAATAGATTTAGGGGGTACAAATTGAATTCCATTACATGTATATGTTGTATAGAGATGTAGTCTGGGTTTGGGTGTCCCCATCACCTGAGTACTGTACGTATATTATACCACAAAGGTAATTTTTCATCCCTCACCCCATCCCACCCCCACCCTTGTGAGTCTCCAATGCCATCATCCACTCTGTGTGCCCTGTGCAGCCATGGCTTAGCTCCCACTTGTAAGTGAGAACATGCAGGGGCATTTGCTTTTCTGCTGGTGAGTTTCTTCTCTTAGGATAACGGCCTCCAGTTCCACCCAAGTTGCTGCAAAAGACATTCTTTCTTATCACTGAGCAGTACTCCATGGTGTACATATACCACATTTTCTTAATCTACTCATCAGTTACTGGGCATTTAGGTCAATTACATATCTTTGTGATTTTGAATTGTATTGTGATAAATATATGAAGGCAGGTATTCTTTTGATATGATTTCTTTTCCTATGAATGGATACTGAGTAGTGAATTTGCAGGATCAAATGATAGATCAACTTTTAATTCTTTGAGAAATCTCTATATTGGTCTCCATAAAGGTTGTACTAATTTACATTCCCACCAACAGTGTATAAGTGTTCCCTTTTCACTGCATCCACACCAACACCTATTGTTTTGTTTTGTTTTTACTTTTTAATGGCCATTCTATTTGGAGAGAGTTGATAAATAATTGTGGTTTTAATTTGCATTTCTCTGATGATTAGTGATGTTGAAAATTTTTTTCATATATTTTGGCAATTTGTACATCATCTTTTAAAAAACGATCATTCATGTCATTTATCCACTTTTTAATGGGGTTGGTTGTGTCTTGCTGAGTTGTTTGAGTTCCTTGTAGATTCAGTATATTATGCCTTTGTTGAACACATAGTTTGTAAATATTTTCTCTCACTCTGTAGGTTGTCTATTTAATCTTTTGATTATTTCTTTTGCTGTGTAGAAGCTTTTTAGTTTAATTAAATCCCATTTGTCTATTTTTGTTTTTATTGCATTTGCTTTGGCTGTCTTACTTACAAATTCTTTGCCTAGGCCAATGTCCAGAAGAGGTTTTTCCTAGGTTTTCTTCTAAAATTTTTATTGTTTAAGGCCTTAGATTTAAGTCTTTAATCCATCTTGAGTTAATTTTTATATATGGTAAGAGATAGGGATCAAGTTTCATCCTTCTGCAGGTAGCTATCCAATTTTCCCAGCACCATTTATTGAGGAGTGTGACCTTTCCCCAGTGTATGTTTTTGTGTGTTTTATCAAAGATCAATTGGTTGTAGGTATATGGTTTGATTTATGGGTTCTCTATTCTGTTACAATAATCAATTTTTTCTACTTTTATGCTAGGACCAGGCTATTTTGCTTACTGTAGCTTTGAATTATAATTTGAAATCAGGTAATGTGATGCCTCCGATTTTGTTCATTTTGCTTAGGATTGCTTTGCCTATTTGGGCTATTTTTGTTGTTGTTGTTCCATATGAACTTTAGAATAATTTTTTCTAATTCTGTGAAAAATGACATTGGTATTTTACTAAAAATTGCATTGAATCTGTAGATTACTTTAGGCAGTATTATCATTTTAACAATATTGATTCTTCCAATCCAAAAGCATGGGATGTTTTTCCATTTGCTTGTGTTATCTATGATTTCTTTCATCAGTGACTTATAATTCTTCTTGTAGAGATATTTAATTTCTTTGGTTAAATTTATTCCTAAGTATTGGGTGGGGGGTTATAGCTATTACAAATGGGATTGAGTTTTTTATTTGACCTCAGCTTGAACATTATTGGTATATAGAAATGCTATCAATTTTTGTACATTAACTTCATAATCTGAGACTTTCCTGAATTCATTTACCAAATATAGGAGTCTTTTGGAGGAGTCTTTAAGGTTTTCTAGGTATAAGATCATATCATCATCAAATAATTTTACTTCCTTTTTTTGAATTTGGATGTCCTTTAATTCTCTTGCCTGATTGCTCTGGCTAGGACTTCCAGTATTGTGTTGAATAGAAAGTGGGCATCCTTATCTTGTTCCAGTTCTTAAGGAAAATGCTTTCTTTTTTTTTTTTTCTTTTTTTTTTTATTACTTCATATTATGGGGGTACAGATATTGTTAGGGTTACATATCTCACCCCCACCCCGCTATGCCAGAGCTTCTAGCGCATCCAGCCTCCAGGTGGTGCACCGCACCCACCGTGTGAATGCACACCCTTCCCCTCCTCCTCCTCCACCTGCCCACTTCCCAATTACAGATTTTTTTTCAGACATTTTGGTTACAATGTATGTCTTTACCTCTCCCTAAAAAGGGACAGAGGTAATCCCTTCCCCCCACAATGCTCACCACTTCCTTAAGATGTGGGTCTCGCCCCTAAATCCCTGTTGAACTCTACCGTTTTTTGAGCACCATAGTTTTAGTCAGTCAGTACCAATGTGATGGCGAGTAGATGTGTAGCCCATTTTCCACATCTTGTGTCGTCTCGCTTTGTATTACAGGCTTAAGCTTCATCCAGGATAGCATAAACGGGGCTAGCTCACTGTCGTTTCTGAGGATTGAGTAATATTCCATTGTGAGCATATACCACATTTTAGTTATTTATTCATCCTTTCCCCATTCAGCATTATATTGGCTGTAGGTTGTCATATATGGCTTTTACTATTTTGAGGTATATTCCTTCTATATCGAGTTTTTTGAGAGGTTTTATTATAAAGGGACACTTGATTTTATTGAATGCTTTGTCTGCATCTATTGAGATGATCATATGGTCTTTGTGTTTAATTCTGCTTATGAGGTGAATCACATTTATTGATTTGTGTTTGTTCAACCATCCTGAGCTGAAACCTATTTGATCATAATGAATCATCTTTTTGATGTACTGTTGGATTCAGTTTGCTAGTATTTTTGTTAATGGTTTTTATGTCTATGTTCATCAGAGATATTGGTCTATAGTTTTCTTTTATTGTTGCATTCTTTCCTGGCTTTGGTATCAGGGTGATACTGGGTTTGTACAATGAGTTAGGGAGGAGTCCCTCCTTCTCAATCTTTTGGAACACTTTCAGTAGGATTGGCACCAGTTTTTCTTTGTATTATATATCTGGTAAAATTCAGCTGTGAATCGATCTGGTTCTAAGCTTTTTTTTGTTGGGAGATTTTTCTATTACTGATTTAATCTGATTACTCATTATTGGTCTATTCAAGAATTCTATTTCTTCCTGGTTCAATCTCAGGAGGTTGTATGTTTTCAGGAATTTATCCATTCCTCTAGGTTTTCTAGTTGGTGAGTGTATAGTTGTTCATTATAGTCTTTTATGATCTTTTGCATTTCTGTAGTGTTGTGGTAATGTCCCCTTTATCACTTTTTATTGTGTTTATTTGGATCATCTTTCTTCTTTTTCTGGTTAGTCTAGCTAGTGGTTTATGAATTTTGTTAATCTTTTTGAAGAACCAATTTTTTGTTTCATTGATCCTTTGTTTTGTTTTATGGTCTCTATTTCATTTGATTCTGCTCTGATCTTTGTTTATTTCTTTTCTGCTAACTTTGTGTTTAGTTTGTTCTTCTTTTTCTAGTTCCTTGAGATGCAATATTAAGTTGATAATTTGTGACCTTTCTACGTTTTTGATGTAGAAATTTAATTCTATAAACTTCCCTCTTAGCACTCTTTTTGTTGTATCCCACAGGCTTTGGTATGTTGTGTTTTCTATTTTATTTATTTCAAAAATTGTTTACTTTCCATCTTTATTTCTTCATTGACCTGGTGATTGTCCAGGAGCATGTTGTTTAATTTCCATGTATCATGTATTTGTATAGTACCTGAAGTTTCTCTTTGTATTAATTTCTAGGTGTATTCCACTGTGGTCTCCTAAGATATTTAATATGATTTCAATTTTTTAAGACTTGTTTTGTGACCTAAACTGTGATCTAACTTGGAGAATGTTCCACTTGCTGATGAGAAAAATGTATATTCTCTAGTCCTTGGGTGGCATATTCTGTAACTATCTGTTACGTTCATTTGATCTAAAGGCCAATTTAAATCCAATGTTTCCTTGTTGATTTTCAGTGATCTGACTAAGTGCTATGAGTAGGGTGTTGAAGTTCTTTACTATTATTGTGTTGCTATCAATCTTTTTTTTTAGGTCTAGTAATAT